TTGACCAATCAGAGAGCAGAACTACTGACCCCACATGAGCCCGTATACCGTCGCTAAAAATCAAAGATGGTTGAAACTGACCTGATATGAGACCGTATACCGTCAGTAAAGCCATCTTGGATTTTCCAACACCCACCTCACATATTTCACATGGAAATGTTGGTACCGAAATTCATTATTTGACACTGTTTTGTGTTTTCCCATCATTAATTGTAATGTGAAAGGACATTAATCTGTTTTTTAGATCACATTTGTGACTATATTGATAAAGATTAGTTAAAATTTTCAACAAGGTTTGGCCTCTAAGGTTTGAAGAGTGGTCTCCCTTTGACATCAGCAATGGCTGTCAAGCTCTTTGCTTTTAGCACCGATGAATAAATCTCTGATAAAAGTCAAAATGTGCGATATGGATACCAGAAAGTGTAAACTTTTCAGCATAATAAATTCGTTGTGGTGTCGTTAGTTGCTGTATATGGTGTCACATTAGGTTAGCAAAAACATATTGGGTGAGGCCAACTAACCTAATATGACACCGTTTACAGCAACTAAAGACACCATAACTAATAATACTTGCATGTGCACATTTTATTGTTTAATGCATCACAGATCTATCTATATCTTCTCAGAGGCTGTTATTCCGCCCCAAGTCTGCAGCTAAATTTTATGTTGGCAACAAATCGTAAGTTGAATTTACTTCCCAAGACATGTTATTGTAATCATTAAACTTTCCCAGAGAACACTCAAGTCGCTGCTACATTCAACACACATATCCAGCTGTCTAACTGCCCTCGCCTTCTTTCTATACTTACCTTGCACCTGCTGACCAAGCAACGCATCGCCTTCATCTGCCATATTTCTCTACATTCTTTTAGAGTTATCCCCCTTACACTGCCATACATGAAGCTCCCTAGCGCGTGACACCATTGTTACACCCTTGGTAACATCACTGCCCCCAATGTGGGCGCGGCCATTACAAGAATCATGAAATTTGCCCTCTTAACCCCAAATGTGGTAATGTTTATGCTTTGGTTTTTGTCTTGGGGAGTGCCATCATAGTGAAATTTTGAAATGTTTACGACTGACCATATTTCCCAGATAAATTTACCTTTTTGCTTGTTTGCTCAGATTGGTTTGAGATTGCAGATGAGCGGAAAATCAACCAACTTCAATCTTATATTCTTTCTTTATGAATTACATGATGTTTATAATGAAACAGAAATTCGAATTGACAAAGAAAATAATTAAGCAGGGGTAAGAGTATTCGGTGTCATGACAGTCGTTACTTGTTTGTACACGTAACGGTCAGTACGTTGTGTTCGACTCCAAGCATGTTTGTTGTCGCCTGTCATAGTGGGGAGCTTTGACTGGTGGCAGCGATAGTATAGAGAGCTCCGCAAACGGGCTAACGCTGTGAGGAGCTTGGCTACACATGTATGGTAACACAAGTTACCCCCCCTTATTTCATTACTGTATAAATCCAGCTGTTAAACTGCCCTCTTCTTTCTATTCTTACCGTGCACCTGCTTACCTAGCCACACATAGCCTTCATCTGCCATATCGCTCTACATTCTTTTAGAGTTATCCCCCTTACACTGCTCATACATGTATGGTAACACAACTTACCTCCCCTTATACTACATTATTATTCCCCGCCACAAAGTTGAAGGGGGATATAGGAATGGGTGCTGTCCGTCCGTCACATTTCGTTTCCGGAGAAGATCTTGAAAACCGTACCATATTTCATCACCAAACTTGGCATATAGATAGTTGTAGTGGTGAACTGGTGATTTGGATTAGTTTCGATTATACTGTTTGTGTTGCAGTGTATATGGTAAATTTTAACTACCCGGTATATTGTGAGTGTCAAGTGTTCTGGAGCCCTATGGTGATACTCCCATGGCAGCTCATAAAATAGAGCTGCATCCCTTATTGTTTACAGTTAAAGCTCCATCCAAGTGGACCTGTGAAGATCTGGGGTAGAATAGGTCTTCAGCAACCCTTGCTTGCCGTAAAAGGCGACTATGCTTGTTTTAAGAAGCGACTAACAGGATCGGGTGGTCAGGCTCGCTGACTTGGTTGATGCATGTCATCAATCCCAATTGCGTGGATCGATGCTCATGTTATAAAACACTGGATTGTCTGGTCCAGACCTGATTATTTACAGACCGCTGTCATATAGCTGGAATACTGCTGAGTGTGGCGTTAAACAACAAACCAACCAACCAACCAACAAGCAGAATGGAGACACCTGCTGTCTCTTTCATAAGCTAACGGTATGGGTCTAATATTACTAAGGAAGTTGAAATTCAGCTGGAGCCAGATCCTAAATACCGGTGAGACAGCCGACAGACTCCTTATCAGTGCACAAGATACCTTCCATCTTCAGCCAATTAACTCCCGCTGTGGCCTAATGGATAGACTGTCTGCCCCGAGAGGTAAAGGTCAGTGTTTGATCACCTGGCCGTGTCATATCAAAAGCTGTTGATAGATTGTACTATTCAGTAGTTACCCTGCTTGTTGTCAGCATTAAGGAATAAAACAAGGCCTGGTCGGTATACTGTGTCTGTATACTTTGTCTGTATACTGTGTCTGTATACTGGGTATTCATGTTAAATTGTGACATGGTTTCTCTGTGGGCTAGCACTATAAAACCAGCATCACTTATTTAGATTCTACATGTATAACATCCAGTCGTGAAATAATACACACTACTTTGATTAATTTACACAAAGTATTTATATTTTTTTACGCATGCATTTTGAATCATCGTCCACGATCAGTGTTACATAGATATACATGTCCCATGCCACTGTGAAATAATTGCACCACTGTTCCATTCACTACCATCATTACGTATGTGAACCTCAGTAATGAATATCTGTACAATGCTCTTTCCTAGAACGCGGGGTCGGTTTCTTGGACCCCGATGACAGCGGTATATCGAGGGATCACTGTATTTACAAAGTTTATCATATACGGTGTATCTGGAATAATGCATAACTGTATTATACCATATTTATCAATTATTAAATGACTATTTTTTGTTGTGAAATCATTGGTTGGCATTTTACATGTTTAAAAGTCTACAAGAATATGAATACAACAGATAACGGCTTCCTTAATGTTTGTAAGTTCCTACTTCTTGCCACTTCAGGTGGATTGATTTTGTCTATCATTGTTTCTCAATACGGTAAATACAATTAGCTTGTTTTGGTGTTTCCTTCCCATTACCTTTGAATACTCATTACTGATGGACTGAGCAAAGCAACCTTAAACCCTCACTCATTCACTCATTATCAATAACAGTAAGTCTTATACTGGGTTATTCAGGCTCTGTCATTTGCTGTATTGTTTCTTAATGCTGGATGTGTATTTCCATTCCTTCCTGCTTATATCTCCTCTCTCCACTCTATAAACCACCATGATGACAACTAGCCAAATCTGAGCATTCGGACATGTGGGCAGTCTGTCCAGATAGCCTGCTGTCCTTGAGTGCCGTGATGAAAGCCCATCGAGACAGCGTTAACAGCTGATGGTGTCATCCCTTCTCTTGTCTTTGTAAGCCCATTTCTGGTGTCCCCCGCCGTGATATTGCTGGAATATTGCTGGAATATTGCTAAAAGCGGCGTAAAACCATACTCACTCACTCACTCACTCTTGTCTTTGTGAAGTTGTTCCATGTCTTACAAAATGAACAAATGACTATAGACATCTGGGTAATGATATTGATTAAGAAATGGTATCATTAAGACTTATGAATTATAAAAGAATGTGCAATGTTGATAACAAAGGGAATACCAGTCTTATTATTATTGGTAGATCATCGCCATTTCTGTGTTTTAAGGATCTCTTGTGTGTCTTCTGTTGTCTTTCAGATGACTAAGAGCTCTTCTCCAAGACTCTTAATATTAAAGTGAGTGAGTTTTGTTTAACGCCATTTTTAACAGTATTCCTGTTATATCGCGGCGTGTCAGCTTTATGAGGGAGGAAAGCCTCATGTGATGCAGGTCTCAGACGTTTACCACTTCGGTGAAACCCACGAGCACGGGTATGGTGCTGACAAACCTAGAAACATAATTGGGGCAAACCGGGATTTGAACCAACAACCATATATAGGTTTCTGGCGTGTCCAAGGGACGCAACACAGGGGCTCCTAAGACGACTGGGCCACCCGTGACCCCATTAATATTAAAAATGTCAATGTAATTTCAATAAAAGTTAAGGATAAAGGTGTTGTCAGATGTTGATGCAGAGAGGTATCGTATTGGATCTGGTTGTAATGAGAATGCAGAGCTCCAGATAACTTTTTGAGCAATTGAGTTTTTACTCTAGGGTTTCCATTTGAATTGGGTTATGACATTTTTCATGGGTAACCGATATTTTTTCACTCATCTATTCATCACTTGATTTGGTTTTTCCCTAAATTAGTGAACGTTTTAAGATTAAATAAAAAAATCAAATAATGTTTTAGATGTATACAACTGTTCTAAATAAATAGGCTTGACCCGGAAAGTAAATTTTCTCGTAATTGTGTTTCGGAAATTAGCTCCTTTGTATGCATGCTGAAAAAGCTTCATTGGGTATTTACGCGTGCTGTTTTTTATACGTTGAGTTTTCCATTTAATGCATGCGTTTCTGTATGCAAGTTAATTGAAAGTATTTGTGTTTTGAATATTTTTGGGGGGTATTTTACGCAAATATGCTGCTTATCTGTAGCTCTGAGAAAGTAATGTTAATCTTCTCAAGTATATTTTAGCCATGTTTAAGTTTGTCGCATGAGGGGCGGTCGGGTACCCTAGTGGTAAAAGCGTTCACTCATCACGCCAAAGACCAGGGTTCGATCCCCGACATGGGTACAGTGTGTCCCCCGCCCTGATGTTGCTGGAATATTGCTAAAAGGCCCCATCTCATTCATCCTGGCTCTCCTTGGTCCCATTTCCCCCTATCCTGGCTCCCCTTGATCCCATCTCTTCCATCGTCCCTCCCCTTTCCCATTGGTCCCATCTCCTCCATCGTCCCTCCCCTTGATCCCATCTCTTCCATCGTCCCTCCCCTTTCCCCTTGGTCCCATCTCTTCCATCGTCCCTCCCCTTTCCCCTTGGTCCCATGTCCTCCATCGTCCCTCCCCTTGGTCCCATCTCTTCCATCGTCCCTCCCCTTTCCCCTTGGTCCCATCTCTTCCATCGTCCCTCCCCTTGATCCAATCTCTTCCATCGTCCCTTCCCTTGGTCCCATCTCTTCCATCGTCCCTCCCCTTGGTCCCATCTCTTCCATTGTTCCTCCCCTTGGTCCCATCTCTTCCATCGTCCCTCCCCTTGATCCCATCTCCTCCATCGTCCCTCCCCTTGATCCCATCTCCTCCATCGTCCCTCCCCTTGGTCCCATCTCTTCCATCGTCCCTCCCCTTGATCCCATCTCTTCCATCGTCCCTCCCCTTGGTCCCATCTCTTCCATCGTCCCTCCCCTTGATCCCATCTCTTCCATCGTCCCTCCCCTTGATCCCATCTCCTCCATCGTCCCTCCCCTTGGTCCCATCTCTTCCATCGTCCCTCCCCTTGGTCCCATCTCTTCCATTGTTCCTCCCCTTGGTCCCATCTCTTCCATCGTCCCTCCCCTTGATCCCATCTCCTCCATCGTCCCTCCCCTTGATCCCATCTCCTCCATCGTCCCTCCCCTTGATCCCATCTCCTCCATCGTCCCTCCCCTTGGTCCCATCTCTTCCATCGTCCCTCCCCTTGATCCCATCTCCTCCATCGTCCCTCCCCTTGATCCCATCTCCTCCATCGTCCCTCCCCTTGATCCCATCTCCTCCATCGTCCCTCCCCTTGGTCCCATCTCTTCCATCGTCCCTCCCCTTGATCCCATCTCTTCCATCGTCCCTCCCCTTGATCCCATCTCTTCCATCGTCCCTCCCCTTCGTCCCATCACCTCCATCGTCCCTCCCCTTGATCCCATCTCTTCCATCGTCCCTCCCCTTGATCCCATCTCCTCCATCGTCCCTCCCCTTGATCCCATCTCCTCCATCGTCCCTCCCCTTGGTCCCATCTCCTCCATCGTCCCTCCCCTTGGTCCCATCTCCTCAATCGTCCCTCCCCTTGGTCCCATCTCCTCCATCGTTCCTCCCCTTGGTCCCATCTCCTCCATCGTCCCTCTCCTTGGTCCCATCTCCTCCATCGTCCCTCCCCTTGGTCCCATCTCCTCCATCGTCCCTCCCCTTGATCCCATCTCCTCCATCCTCCCTCCCCTTGGTCCCATCTCCTCCATCGTCCCTCCCCTTGGTCCCATCTCTTCCATCGTCCCTCCCCTTGGTCCCATCTCTTCCATCGTCCCTCCCCTTGATCCCATCTCCTCCATCGTCCCTCCCCTTGATCCCATCTCCTCCATCGTCCCTCCCCTTGGTCCCATCTCCTCCATCGTCCCTCCCCTTGGTCCCATCTCCTCCATCGTCCCTCCCCTTGGTCCCATCTCCTCCATCGTCCCTCCCCTTGGTCCCATCTCCTCCATCGTCCCTCCCCTTGGTCCCATCTCCTCCATCGTCCCTCCCCTTGGTCCCATCTCTCCATCATCCTACCCCTTGGTCCCATCTCTCCAATCGTTCCCCTCCTTACTTGTATATTGGCACCTCGAGGTTAATCAGATCACACACAATTATGAGATACCAGGTCATACCTTAATCAGTTTTTTTGTCCACCTGTGACTTTGGATATTGGACTCTTCATATGTGACTTTCTCTCTCCCTTACCTTTGCATGTGTATGCCTACTGACTTCAGCAGCTTCAAACCCGCTATGATTAAGTTGTTACTACCATGTTGTGGTCAGTCAAGTGTCTTTTGAATTGAAAAGAGAAATACATATTCTCAGTCCCAAGAAACCTATGCTGGTTGTAAGAGGCTACCCAATGGATTAGGTGGTCAGGCTTGCTGACATGGTTGTCTGTGTCATCGTACCCCAACAGCATGGGTCGATGCTCACAATATTCCTCACTGGGTTGTGTGTCCAGACTTGATTATTTACAGGCCACCGTGATATAGCTAAAATACTGCCGTGTGGCTTTAAACAAACATACTTACAAATACTGTTCAACTCCCTCAATTGAAATGTTGCAAGGCATCTATCAATCAGTTGACATTTCTGAATTGACTGCAATATTTCTTAACGAAGGTAAAAACATTAAAACCAGTGTATGTTTATTACTCCATTAACGCAAAACCATATTGAAGTCAATTCTTATAAATATATCGACAACAAAATGTATCTCAAAGACAGCTTATTTCATTATCATCGTCATTCAGCGTAGTAATACACCAAAAGCCCTGCCCTTTCTGTTATCAGCCAATCAGAAAACCTTTTTTGTTTTAGGTTTATGGAAACCATTAATGAAAAAAACATTACATTATTTAGCAAATCAAATGTCATGCCATGTAATCACTTGCAGATGATATTTTTTTATATAAACTAATAAAAGGATCATTTGTAGTTTATCAGATGTGACTGTCACATTTTTCATATTCCTTTGTTATGGAACATTTTTAATGATTGTAAAATGCCAGAATTTATCCGCATATTATGGTTATAACATTTATAGTTGAAGGTATTGCTTCAATCATAGAATTGCCTCATTTACTGGTGAATGTATTGCAGCTTGATATAAAATTTATATATAAACTGTGCTTCATGTTCACTGTAGGAAATAATTATGCATTGCTAACTATGTATTTCCATAAAAAGTATCAGTTTTTAACACTCCTGATTGAAGTCAAGTGGCCTTATATCATGGCCTGTTTGTCTCAGAAACCACAGGACCAGTGAAGCTGAAACTTCACACTATTGTAGCCACCAATGATGACACTCCAGTTTGTTCAAATCCGTTTTGGGGGGCACGAGTGGCCCAGTCATCTAAGGCGCCACAATTCGCTGTGTGGAGTTGCGTCCCTTGGGCACGCCAGAAAACTATGATTGTGGGTTCGAATCCCGATTCGCCCCAGTTATGTTTCTAGGTTTGTCAGCACCATACCGGTGCTCATGGGTTTCACAAAAGTGGTAAACGTCTAAGACCTGCATCACTTGGGGCTTTCCTCCCACATAAAGCTGACACGCCGTGATATATATGACTGGAATACTGTTAAAAGCGGTGTTAAGCACAACTCACTCACTCAAATCCATCTTTCAGCATGGTCTACATGCCAGTCATATTGAAAAGTATATTTCTAGCCATGACTCTGTAATTTTTGTTAAAAATGTAATGAAATTTGGTACATGTGTAGCTATGTCGTGGGGCTCAACATGTGTTCCGTTGGTTGTGATATTCAAAATTTTGACCTTAGTTTGACTATTGCACTTCGACTATACTGTTGGTGTTGCAGTGTATATGGTAAATTTTAACTACCCGGTATATTGTGAGTGTCAAGTGTTCTGGAGCCCTTTGGTGATACTCCCATGGCAGCTCATAAAACAGTGGCCTCCCTTATTGTTTACAGCCAAAGCTCCATCCCAGTGGACCCGTGAAGATCTGGGGTAAAATAGGCCTTCAGCAACCCATGCTTGCCGTAAAAGGCGACTATGCTTGTTGTAAGAGGCGACTAACAGGATCGGGTGGTCAGGCTCGCTGACTTGGTTGAAGCATGTCATCGATCCAAATTGCATGGATCGATGCTCATGATATCAATCACTGGATTGTCTGATCCAGACTCGATTATTGACAGACCGCCGTCATATAGCTGGAATATTGCCGAGTGCTGCGTTAAACAACAAACCAACCAACCAAACGTCCCAGTGTTTTACACCTTCTAGTATAGAGAGCTCCACTGTGAAGAGCTTGTGTACAGTTGTAGATTCGAGAGGTTTCTGGCAGGCTGGGTATGAGAGGGAGAGGAGGGCGTTTTGAGGCCTCCTCCTACAACTTGCGTCCTATCTACTTGCCCAGTGCGGAAGAGATACCAATCGGGGAAAACAAACTTTTCTGCCTATTTCCAACACTTTCCTTGATTCAAAAGTGGAGCCTCAAACAAGACCTCCAACTGTGACAAACTTGGGCCGTTAAGAGTTATGCAGTGAGGCCTGTTATTTCTGCTGCTACATACAAGAGCCATTTTAGTGCCTTTTGTGATTGTGTTCCAATATGATGCATTGACTGTTCATTGATCTTGTATGGTTATTTACTGATTTCACAATCCAGCTCTGAATGTACCAATGTCTGGATTAACCATCACAACACAACTTGGGAATCAAAATGTAACGATACTAAAAAACTGAAATTTATGCCATTTTATACTTATTTTTTTTCAAGATGTAATATGGTTCATGTGTAGTAGTGGGGCTCACTTTCGCCATATTTCAAACTTTCAGTGAATTTACCTTTGGCTTTGGCTAAGCTCCTAAATTCTCTCAAAATGCATTTGACCGCCTCCATGGTCTAGTGGTAGAGCGTCTGCCCGGAGAGCGAAAAGATCCGGGGTTGGATCTCCGGCCGCGTCACACCGAAAGACATTAAAAGATGGTACTTGTTGTTACCCTGTCTGGCGCTCGGCATTAAGGTGCTAAAACAAGGACTGGTCTGCTCGGAGTCAGTACACTGTGCCTGAGTGGGGTATTCATGTTAAACTGCGGCATGGTATCTCAGTAGGCTATATAGCCCTATAAATCGTCATCGTCCGGACTAACGCACGCATGCACACACGTCGCTATATAATTTCAATAATCTTGGATGCGACGTTAAACCCAATTTCACCTCAAAATGCATTTCTTTGCACTGCAATCTCCATCTATGCACACCATCTCCTCAGCAACAACTTGACCAGTGAAGCTGAAACTTCATATTGTTCCCCCCCAATAAACACACCTGATAGCAAGTGCATGAACATGTGTGGCCTCTGGTTTTCTAGTGCTAGCGGACTGACGTACCATGCTGCAGTTTAACATGTATACCATACTCACAGTATACTTCCGTGAAGATCTGGGGAGACCAGGTATTTGGAACCAATGCTTGTCGTATGAGCCGACTAACGTGAGTGATCCGGTGGTCAGAGTTGCTGACTTGGTTGATGCATGTCATCGTGTCCCAATTACGTGGATCGATGCTCATGATGTCAATCACTGGATTGTCTGGTCCAGACTCGATTATTTACAGACCGCCATCATATAGCTGGAATATTGCTGAGAGCGGCGTTAAACAACAAACAAACAAAACACAGTATACTTTCTATGAACTGTCCAGTCCTTGTCCTACCCATTTATTGCTGAGCTCATTACATGTCTTTTGTGTGATGCTTTATGAAACTGCCCTTTTGAGCACACCTGCTAGTAGTACATCAAAATTCGGGGACACCAGAAATGAGCTGGACATGTATTTAGGTAGAAAATAGATCTGGGTCTTTGTCATAACAAACTATTTTAAACACTATAGCTACTCAATATGGTGGGTGGATGATGTATGAAGAAGTGAATCAAGACATGAATAAGTCCATGAGTTTGCTGTTTTGCCGATCTTAGCAATAGTCCAGAAAATAGTCCAGCAATAAAACATCAGGGTACTCCAGAATTGACCTGAACTCATTTTCCTTTGTTGCTGATTTAGTGAGGTGGTGTGTGTGTGTGTGGGTGATTTAGTGAGGTGGTGTGTGTGGGTGATTTAGTGAGGTGGTGTGTGTGTGTGTGGGTGATTTAGTGAGGTGGTGTGTGTGTGTGGGGGGTGATTTAGTGAGGTGGTGTGTGGGTGGGGGTGATTTAGTGAGGTGTGTGTGTGGGTGGGGGTGATTTAGTGAGGTGGTGTGTGTGGGTGGGGGTGATTTAGTGAGGTGGTGTGTAAGTGTGAATGGTCTCCACTTGACATCGAGAGCTTTAAGTGCCTGTTTTGTGGGAGTGAGAATGAGTGAACGGTGTCCATTGGACTTCATGCATCTGTAGACAGTACAATCAATATTCACAAGATTTGGTCACCAAGACTCGATCATTACCAGTAGTTCCCACTACACATGTCAACTGAGATGCCTGTCCTAGACTAACTTGCAATAATCACGACACTCCATGAGTTGTACATCTTTATTGCCCATCAACCAGTGCTGATAACAAGTGCGAAGTGTTGTACACATGTGGTGCCGGGTGCCGTGTCTAGCACCAGACATCAGTATACCGGGCGGGGCGCTGCCTGCCTGCCTCGAAGACTGGACGGAGGAATTCTCATAAAAACTAAACCGATACATTATTTTCACTCTGTATGCACCTCCAAAAGAAGTTTGACAGTGAATCAATATGGACATTGTTTTAGTAATTCTTACAAACTTGATTTTCTTTCAAAATTCAAAACCATTCACCCAAATGCATGGGAGGTGCACACAAGACATAATTACATCAAATATTATGTCTTTTAAGTACCTTCTAAATGGATAAATTTATTAAATGGAATTGGGAACAAAAGATGGTCCAATTTTTATTTAAACGTGTGTGGTTATTTCCATTGGAAAGGGGGACAACTCTTGATGAACAAATCTTTGGCATGGTAAGATAATCTTTCTATAAAATATTAAATAGATTTCAAATATCACAGGAAGCTTTTCAGTTCAAAGCAAGTACAATAACAAATAGATCATGTATGCAGATGAACAACACTGTAACAACCATGATAAAATCTAAACACTAATACAATTATTGTAATACAAGTTGCTATTGGTGCTGAATAAATAATTGCAAATGCATATCTAAGTATTATCCATGTACGTCATGTTCTAATTCTGTTTCCTCATATAGTCGGGGTCACAAATATGATGCCAGATGGAGTAAGGGCTACAATGTTGATGGATATATTTCACAGCAGGAGGATGACATGAGTGGATTTTTTTTTATCCATGAGTACGGAACCCTGAGCCCACATGAGATTTCTGGATTCTGGTGTGATCTACAAATAAGAATTTTCTACTTTTCAAAACACCCAAAGTTTACAGTTTGGTTAAAATTAGTGCTGATTTCTATGCAGCTTTTACATGCCTTGGGAACAAAATGTAACACATTCAAAAATTGGTTTACAACAAAAGAAAATGCCTGATCTGCAAAATCCATCTTCTCCACACGGGGGTATTTGCTCTGCACTCCTTCGTGTGTTGGCTACTCCTACAGTGACACGGGCTGGTGTGTGCGTGCAGGTCGGTTTGGTGTGTGCGTGCAGGTCGGTTTGGTGTGTGCGTGCAGGTCGGTTTGGTGTGTGCGTGGAGGTCGGGCTGGTGTGTGCGTGCAGGTCGGGCTGGTGTGTGCGTGCAGGTCGGGCTGGTGTGTGCGTGCAGGTCTGGCTGGTGTGTGCGTGGAGGTCGGGCTGGTGTGTGCGTGCAGGTCGGGCTGGTGTGTGCGTGCAGGTCGGGCTGGTGTGTGCGTGCAGGTCGGGCTGGTGTGTGCGTGCAGGTCGGGCTGGTGTGTGCGTGCAGGTCGGGCTGGTGTGTGCGTGCAGGTCGGGCTGGTGTGTGCGTGGAGGTCGGGCTGGTGTGTGCGTGGAGGTCGGGCTGGTGTGTGCGTGCAGGTCGGGCTGGTGTGTGCGTGCAGGTCGGGCTGGTGTGTGCGTGCAGGTCGGGCTGGTGTGTGCGTGCAGGTCGGGCTGGTGTGTGCGTGCAGGTCGGGCTGGTGTGTGCGCTTGCAGGTCGGGCTGGTGTGTGCGCGTGCAGGTCGGGCTGGTGTGTGCGCGTGCAGGTCGGGCTGGTGTGTGCGTGCAGGTCGGGCTGGTGTGTGCGTGCAGGTCGGGCTGGTGTGTGCGTGCAGGTCGGGCTGGTGTGTGTGTGCAGGTCGGGCTGGTGTGTGCGTGCAGGTTGGTGGTTTCAGGGACAAACCTCTAAATCTGTGACATGTTCAGGAAGACAACATGGGTACAACTGGGTGTCCAAAACTGTCGCTGTTTTCAAAGGGTCATTAGAAGTTATTGAATACTCAGTAAAGCCTGTACCAGTTAAAGGAGGAGTTTTTTTCTGAGGCACTTTTGTAAATATTACTTGGAAGATGATCTTGATTGAATTTTTTTATAAATATCTCATAAATCCTGTATTATATGTATCATTAAAGGGAGGTTAGGCTCTGGCAGTTCCAAGAAACGCACATTTAAACCATATTCTTCATCTGTTACATTATCAAACAACTGAGATAATTAAGATTGTAAGAGAAGAAAAAACTACCTAAGGGATCAGTCATTTGTTATTGGGGTGGGTGGGTGGGTGGGTGGGTGGGAAGGGAAGGGAAGGGAGAGTCGTAATAAAAATGCACATTTGGGGAGGTCATGAAAAAAAAGGACATTTCCAAATCAAATATGAAGTGGTTTTGCATTTTGTATTTTCGGAAATGGTCATACAAATGACAAATATTACAGGAGGGTAATTATTTTCAGTACAATAGGTCCTCAAAACCCTCGGACACCCCTATAATAAATGACCTAATGTGCTTGCCATGGGCAACAAACATTAAAAATGTAATGATTCTGTAATTAAATCAAAATAACTTCCAGGACATAAATCATATTTGTCAGAAATATGGTTGCTATTGTTGGTATTAAAAAGCAGGAACACCTGGACGACCTTTGAATTGAAGGAAAGAGTTACTTCCCCTCAATCAACAATTCTCCCTGCTTCATAAACAGGGAAGTCATGTCCTTGAAAACAAGACATACCTCTTACAATGTTACCATATACTATACTGAGTTTGCAAGCATTAAACCCTTAAGTATTTGTAAAGCTAACATGGCATAAACTGGAATGGCATATTTCAGATGGTTAGCAAGAAAGCTTGATAACAAATAAGCATAAATATTCATGTAATCAAAGAAAAATATTCTACTCTTCCTGTGAAAGTTTTTACTCAATAGGACAAAACATGCAACTTTAAAGCTCACTGGGGTTAAAGAAACTCCTGCATACTGAGATGCCAACCATTATTGAGGCAGAATCAGAAACCAAACATCCCCACTAATTCAGGTCAGTTCCTGACCTCAGGCACTCACACACAAGCAATTAATGTTCACTTGTTTTAGCTTGTGATGCTAATGTTTTCCGATTTGGAGTTTGGAGGATAAAATACAATGAAAATGATGATTTGTTTTTATCAACATCAAACTGTCAATCAAGCTAACAATTATTACTTTTTTTACTTGATAAATTACTAATTTAGACCCCAACTAGCCCCAATATTCCTAACTGCCTCCAATTTGGCTTGGCATCTCTGTGAACATCTGTGGTCGTTTCCTTGCCTCAACTCTCACTGGCTACACTGCAGCTTAGCGTCTCTACAAACTGTTGTTGTGGCTCATACATAATATACTCAACATACATAATAGGAATATGTAGGTCAGACTTTTGTCTACAAACATGGCTTATGAATCTGTCGACTCCAAAAAATTGAAATGTGAAAAAATTCCATTAAATGAAAAGCAGCGTTTAAATTCTGCCAACAAGAAAGAAGTAATATGTGTAATAAAAACATTCCCCCATTTACTGCCTCTGTCAATATAAATGAATTATACTACAATTAAAATCTGTTGAAAAACTTTGCTTCAAATCACGAGTAATGAAGAAAATATTTTCCAACCTACCGTAAAGAACATTTAGCAACAAAGTATTGAACAAGTTAAGGAATGGCTTGAACATATGGCTGGATATAAGCATAAAATTACTAACACTTGTTTACATTATATGCAAAAGTAGAAATATAATACTGGGATAATACTTTGTTGAATACAGTATTACATAAGCTAATATTTTAACAATGTCAAGTTGTCAAGTTGCGTTTATATGTGTAGTGACCATTACAGTCCCATGCGTCCATTGATTAGGATGACATGACGACTGGCCACATCTTCATGCGTCCATGTTGAAAGTCGCCATCTCCCTCGGTGGCCACTTGTTGTTTATACTCCACCAGTGCAGTCATGCTGAGCGGCTGCCAGTCCGACGTGAAGCGACGAATCATGTCCAGTTTAGATGTATCAGTTGTAGACCTCTGTAGCCCCCGGGCAGATCCTGGAAGAAAACACACCAGTTGTACAATGAGGTGTGTTTAACATGGCTCTGAACAGTATGTTAGTTATATATATCACGGCATGTCAGCTTGATGTGGGAGGAAAGGGTGAAGTGGTGTAGGCAGTGTTCGAAATAAACGCCTGCCTGTAGGCCCGTGGCAGGTTGATTTCGTGCCGGGCCTGTACTTCAAATTAGTATGGGTCTTTATGGCGTGCCCTAAATTTGCGTGACAATTTATTTATCACAATACACTGCAGTTTTTTTAGTGAGGGCCAGGAGGGTTTTGTCAGGGCCTGCAGCCTCTAAAGTCTGTGGTTCTGATAGCAGCCTGGTAATATTTTTTTCGAACACTGGCTGCAGGGCTCTGGAGACCTCACCTGCCTTGGAATCCCCCCTGTGGAGACCAGATCTGGGTACTGGGAACCTAATCAGGGGGAACAGGTTCTGGGGACCTCGCCTGCCTTGGAATCACCCCTGTGGAGACCAGATCTGGGTACTGGGAACCTAATCGGGGGGAACAGGTTCTGGGGACCTCGCCTGCCTTGGAATCACCCCTGTGGAGACCAGATCTGGGTACTGGGAACCTAATCAGGGGGAACAGGTTCTGGGGACCTCGCCTGCCTTGGAATCACCCCTGTGGAGACCAGATCTGGGTACTGGGAACCTAATCAGGGGGAACAGGTTCTGGGGACCTCGCCTGCCTTGGAATCACCCCTGTGGAGACCAGATCTGGGTACTGGGAACCTAATCAGGGGGAACAGGTTCTGGAGACCTTACTCCAGAAACAAATTTAGGAGACTGTGTTTCTCAGGAAACTGGGGATCTAATCTGCCTCTGAATCACCCCTATGGAGACCAGACCTAGGTACATGGGCCCTACGAGTGGTGTGACAGAAGATGACACATGAATTGTTCGCCAGCTAATAATGAAAGCAAAAGGAGGACATGTGTACCTCTCTCCTCAGGATCCGACAACCGAGACTCCATGAAACCCAAGCTGGACTGAGCTTTGACGGATGGCATGCGGCTGTGAGCAGTTGGCAGGTCCTTCCGTTCTCTCTGCTCACGGAACTTCCGTGCGAACTCCCCAGGGACCTCAGTTTCCTTCTCAGTGAGGAACTGCAGCTTGAACTTGTCTCTGGCCGTCTGTCTGGGTGGTGGCAGGATGGTGTCTGCTGGGGCGGGGAATGTGTCATGCTCCTTTTCATCTGCTGTGAGATGGAGGCTTGTGTCGGAGGTGTCATCTACTAGCATCCTCTGGGTTCTGCTTGTCAACCATTTCACATACTCTGGTTCCGATGTATCCTGGAATTAAGACACATTTAAGTTGTTTCCACTGTAAACCTCCATTACAGAACTGATCACTGCATCATCTAACTATAAACATCTACCAAGGATAGCAATCAGCACTAGCCTATTGTCTCAAGTTAAAAGTATTCTGATGTCAGTAGAATTTCATTTTTTATGCTCGTCTCATTTGTTTTCAAATTCAGTTCTACCACAGTCGGTAACGGTCCTGATGCTTGCATCTGCTATAAAGAAACAGCCCTTGATAACTGAAATCATAGAATCTAACAATATTTTCAGGTTATATTACTAAATTACTGAAAGTTCATATGTACTTCTGGGGGTGGTCAGGTAGCCCAGTGGTTAAAGCGTTCGCTCATCATGACGAAAACCAGGGTTTAATTCCCGACATGGGTACAATGTGTGAAGCCCATTTCTGGTGTCCCCCGCCGTGATATTGCTAGAGTATTACTAAAATCAAACTCATTGACATGCACTTCTAAACATTTCATAAGGAGAGTGTGGTAAGTTTCAAGGTGGACACTAAGTGTAACTGACTGCCTGCAAATGTTTCCATCCTACCATGGAACTGATACATTTTAAATTTAAACAAACATTAAAATGTGCAAAAGTTGCTTGGCAACAGTATGAAATATCTCAGCATCCTAAACAAAAGTGAGTAAAATACATTACTTGTAAGCCGGCAGCCTCTGAACCAGTGATTGATATCACAACGTTTAAAATGGTTTGACATGATGACACAATGAACTGTCACTGAACCTGACCACCGATCCATTTAGTCGTCCTGTAGGACAGACGTGGGTTGTTGGGACTAAGGAACCAAGTCACTGAGCCTGACCACCGACCCATTTAGTCGTCTTGTAGGACAGACGTGGGTTGTTGGGACTAAGGAACCAAGTCACTGAGCCTGACCACCGATCCATGTAGTCTTGTAGGACAGACGTGGGTTGTTGGGACCAGTTCTACCCTGGAGCACCCACCGACCGACCTGTTTAGTCCACTTACTGACATATTCTCCACCCAAGACGGCATGTATCTGGCGATGTTGTCCTTGTCCCCGTCGGTGATGTCTGGGAGTGGGTTGTTGAAGAGGAGGATGTTGGTGCGGTCGTTGTTGGCCTGGGAGGACCGGTACATGATGCCAGTCTTGTGGCGGTACTTGCGTATGTTGTACAGCAGTTTCTGGTCAAGCAACTTCTTCATGTCCGGCACCTGAATCGGGACGAAAGGCAACACAATAATGACAGGTCTGTGAATGCTGAAGGAGAATATTCCAGCCATATCATGTCAGCCGGTAAATAATCAAGTAAAAACTAGCATGTGCAGTAATCTATACAGAATTAGAAACCTTCACCAGTCTGTAAAGTCATCTGCTACAGAGTTCCATCAATCTAACTGTAAAAGTGGTAGTGCACAAGTAAATGTGGAATTGTTCCTGAATGGTGAATAGTACTGATTTTGAACTAGAGTTATATTAATTTTGAACCTTGTCCATGTACAAAGTCAGCAAGGTTCTACATTGTAACCAGCTCAGTGTCAAGGTCTACAGGGAACATATTTTACTTTAAGATTTGGGTAGCGGGGACATATTTGAAAGCAGCAGACACAAATTTACATGGAAATGTGGTGCTGTTGTAGGAGGGATCATCAGGGCAAATGAGCCCACGACTGGGGAATCTTGTCAAGATCCACTCCACCTCTTGACAGAACTCTCCATACTGTTGGCACCAGTCACAGCTCCCTACCGTTGTATATATTCTATACTTATATGTATATATGTATTATGTTGTTGAAATAATTTTGTACCTCTGATAGCGGCCTGAGTGTAAATAAATTTCAGTTCAGCTAGGCGTCCTCCAACCATGTATGGAGCTAAACTCACAACCGTCTGACTGTTTTGTTTACTAACAGGTGTGTTGACTTTCACAACACACTTCCCTCTTCTGAATTGTTTTGTTTGTTCATCAATTTGAATTTCTTTTTCATTTCAACTATCATGTAAATAGTATAGTGATAATGTCAGGGGAAGTTGGCAGCATTCTGTTTCTTTAATCAGATTAATTCAAGACTGCAAATGCAAATTCATTTGGGAAGTAGTACAATTTTCAAGATTCTTGTAATGGCCTCTGGCACACTTGTGGCAGTGATGATACCGGGAGCGTAATGGTGTCTCATGCTGGAAAGGAGCTTTTAATCTTGACAGCTAAGGGACACAACTCTGCACACCAAGCTGCAGATCCAGACAACACTGGGCCATCTGTCTTGTTTTCAGTGGGTCTGGCTAGAGGTTACTTTATACCACGCTGGTGGATATATTGAAAGAACTTGCTTAACCTCAAGTACCCAGGTGTGAAATAGATTGTGTCTTCTGAATGTTCACATGCTACGTTCACTGGGCAAGCCACCACACCATTATCTGCCCTACTAGTACTATGTCCAAATGTGTTTTTAAAGCAGGAAGTGATTTTTTTAAGAGCTTTGCATCAAGATATTCCATTCTAGCTTGAAGCTTATTCATGATTTGTAAAGTACTTGATTTGATATGAGATTAATTAAGACTGTTTTTTTTGTGGGGGAGGAAGTTAGTAGTTGGGTTTTGTGGATGTGTGTGTGTTGTTCTAGTGGTGGTGTTAGGTTTGGGGTGGGGTGGGGTGTATTTGTTTGGAATTGAGGGGAAGATAGGTAGACACAGTTAAGGGCATTTAGTTGTTCCGTATTTTTCTGGGTGTGGTGGGTGTGGTAGTTAGGGTAGGGTATTGTAGTTAGTGTTTGAGGGGGTTGTAGTTGGAGTCAGGAGGGTCGTGGGGGTCAGACGAGAGTGACAGGCAAACATACATCATCTGTGGCTGTGTAGTTCCGAGTTACTGGCTGTCGACCCAGGGTGAGTGACTCCCGCACAAAGGCACTGTACGCATCCTGCACACACAAAACATACACATTAGTGAACGTGTCATACAAGCTCAGGAGAATTATGTTGTCTTTGTGGATTATAATAATATTACACCACTGGCTTACTGAGAATACTTTATGATTTAAGTTTAGGTCTGTTGGCAAAATGAAAGGCACTATGATGTTGTCAGGAACATCAAAGCTACACAATGCAGTACAGAAAGTATGAAGACTGAACAAAACTGATGCGTGATGGAGGGTTTGTCAGAAGGAACAGTCATCCAAGGTCCACCTGCCCATCCATTAAACTTATTAAAACTATGCAGCCACTGTTCCGAGATACCCAATGCTTGATATCTGGGTCCGGTAGTCATAATGTGTTACTGGGCTGACAATGTCCGATACACGACACCAGTGTGGATCAGTACAGGGATTGATTGTTTGTTTGTTGCTTAAAGCCGCACTCAGCAATATTCCAGGTATATGATGATGGCCTGTAAAAAGAACTGGACCTGACAATCCAGTGATCAATATTGTGAGCAATGATTCATGCTCTCGGATGGGGGATGTCACGTAATCAGCCAAGTCCCCGAGTCTGACCACATCGATCCATTGGATTTGTCCTGCACAAGTTGTACAGACCAATTCTCTAACCTGATCTACATGTGATCAGAGGCCAATATTCCACCCAAAGTCTGCAGCATATGTCAGTAAACATTCAAAATTTGAACAACAAAATTCATGGCAATACTGTTGAAACAGATATGGCTGTGTGGAGGTGACTTCTTTCACTCGTATCAGGACCAGGTATTACTGTATTGAATGCGACATTAAAATAATATTCATATTAACTTTTAAATATCATTTTCGCAAAAATAGTTACATTTTCCCTATTTGCCTGGCAAGGGCACTTGGTTTGGAATCCCAGATAAATCCTTGCATTGCTCGAACTATGAGTCTGGCTGCACCAGATTACTCAGAGATTACCTAATGCTGAAGGAACAGTTTTCGGGTATCAACACATCACCTTAAAACCTGCATCACTGGCAACATTATTTCAAGTTACAAAAATATATTTCATATCCTTCATTGTCTATTCAGTGTTTGTCATCTGGACACTGTCTTGATGATAAATTAAACACTGCGTGTGTACATCTTATTATCAAAGCCTAAAATTTTGAAAAATAATAATAAAGAACTGCCCGAGAAACACTTAAGTATTTTCAGGCATCACAAATTTATGGGGATAAAAAGTATTTAATTATGGTTTTTATCAGACTACATTGAAATTGGAAACATCCAACAAACATGTTGTTTTAATCGCTAAGAAATGATCACAATTTTAACACTGATTTCACATTGCATACACATGATACCTCCTAATCTATCTGCATCTGGTATTCCCCATACCAGGCTTGTCGTACTACACTGAGACCTGGTTGATATAGACCTTGTTTGATGTGGAATAAGCAGTGTGCATCTAGTATTCCCCATACCAGGCTTGTTGAACTTCACTCAGAAAAATGGACGACAAGGCGATTCGTTCTCCGGTATTTGTGTTAGCCTGTTCACAAAATCTGTTTTGCCAGAATTGATTAGTTCTGTAATTCTTCTAACAGGAATCACTCCACTCCACAGATTAAATACTTTTTGGATTGCCAATTCTTTTCAATAAAAGGGCCCCCAAATTTCTTTGATTTGAACTGAAATAAAATCTTTCTTCATTCACGAGCCCCAAATCTGGTGAGGTCAATGACCGAGCTGCCGGAAAAGACAATGCTGGAGGCGACATCCTAAAGATGGAGAGTTCTCAAGGGGGGGAAAACTGGGTCAGTCAATCACCACCATTTCTTCATCATCATCATCATCATCATCCATAGATGGAATGGTTTCCAAAAACCAATAATAATCGTTTAACATCTGACATTGACTGACAAGTATTGATCATTGTAGCAGAAATGCAAACTGACAAGATTTCTCAAGGAGGCCATGGTTTGGGGAGATTCATAATGCTATTCACAGCACTACTTCCTTAGGATAAGCTTGAATATTCGCTGACAAGTTCATCTTTAGAAATATGTGCTTCGTTATTGATGTGTAGTGTTTTTGTTGCTTATGAGTAAATATTTTAGAACATCATACCACATGTTAATAACACCACTGTTTATTGACTTTACGTGGTGCTTCGTGAAATTCCTGTACTGGCTTGTTAGAAGTTCATTGAAAAAATATTCCATTATCGCCTGCGGCTGTTGTCCAACGCAGCTCTGAGAACTGAGGTCGGCCTGGGTAGAAGGCAGCCTCTGTTGGCCGCTGTTACCTCAATGAGCTCGCCCACCACCAACACTTCACACATTGCATGCACAACTGTTTGTCAAGTTTATTCATGCTGAAGATGGGCATAAATAGTTTGTTGAACAGAAAAAATATATAAACACAAGCGCTGAACACTGTATTCTCAGTGTTTGGCACATTTTGAGAGGTTATGACCTATAAGCCATTCATTCAGCTTGTGAACTCCAGCTGCAATGCTGCAATGCTTAACAAGTAAAGTTTGTGAGCTGAGGTGTACCACCTATATTAATCTGCGCCACAACTGTAGTCTACCTGACGGAACTTAGCCCTTGGGACCATTTTCAGTAGTGACTGTGGATCCGGGGTAGAATAGGTCTTCAGCAACCCATGCTTGCAGTAAAAAAGTGACTGCTTGTCGTAAGAGGCGACTAACGGTATCGGGTGGTCAGGCTTGCTGACTTGGTTGATGCATGTCATCGTATCCCAATTGCATGGATCAATGCTCATGATGTCAATCACTGGACTGTTTGGTTCAAACTATTTTTGTACAGACCGCCGTCATATAGCGGGAATATTGCTGAGTGCAGTGTTAAACAAAGTTACTGTATGGACAGTTTACTTTAATCTCGGAATTACTGCATCAATTATATATGTTGGTTTTTATTATTGAATTTATGATGTGTGTGATGGCATCTACCAAAGAGTGAGTTTGAATTTCACATTGCAAACATGACCTGAAGGAATTTGTTATATTACCTTCAGGTCATGTGTACAACGTTGTACAGACAGTGTGTATGTGATGAACAACAGTATTACCTTCAGGTCATGTGTACAACGTTGTACAGACAGTGTGTATGTGATGAACAACAGTATTACCTTCAGGTCATGTGTACAACAGTGTACAGCCAGTGTGTATGTGATGAACAACAGTATTACCTTCAAGTCATGAGGGAATCTTCCATCTTCTTTGAGGAGTTTGGACTCTGATTCCCCTCTCAACGTTGTCCACAACGTCTCTGCTCCCACGTGACCTGCAACAGCGTCGGTAGTAATACAGTCTCACATCTTTAGTCAGGTAAAATCAGTTAAGGTTGTACATATTGATGCAGTAATTCCTCTAAATTCCAAGATTTACCATGATGTAATGTGTATGCCATACACAAATAAACAATAATTTTGTGGCTAACATATATTGTCATACTGTCAGTTTCAATAGATTAACTGTAAGAGGTGACTAACGGAATCAGGTGGTCAGACTCGCTGACTTGGTATCCGCGCTGTGTAGATGGATGCGGATGATGTCAATCACTGGATTGTCTGGTCCAGACTCAATTATTTACAGACCGCCGTCATATGGCTGAAATATTGCTGAGTGCGACATTAAACAACCAACCGACCAGTAGATTAACTAACCAGCTGATGATATCAGGCTTGATGGTGATCACCATTTGATACTGAATAACTGCCTCCGTGGTCTAGCGGTAGAGCGTTCGCCTGGAGAGCGGAAGGTCCCGTGTTTGATCCCCGGCCACGTCATACCAAAAGACGTTAACAGATGGTACTTGTTACCCTGTCGGTGCTCGGCAATAAGGGTTTAAAAAAACAAGGACTGGTCAGCCCGGAGTCACTATACTGTGTCTGAGTGGGGTATTCATGTTAACTGTGACATGGTATCTCAGTGTGCTAGCACTATAAAATCAGCATTAGTCCGGACTAGCACAAGCAGCCACACGCGTGCTTCCACGTCGCTATATAAGAGCAAATAATCTTAGACGCGACATTTAACCCCATTTAACCTCACCTCATCATACTGAATATGTCAAGAGATTTCATTTTCTGAACCACACTTGAAAATAGGTACCTGATAAGTGTAATAAGTATGCATGTGGTGAGAAGTGTCTCGTGTGAATAACTTCCGGCAATCAATATTAAGACTGAACTGCTCGCATCTCAATTCATCCAACCTACACATCAGACATTGATGTCTATGCAAGGTCTTTGTTTCATGAAAATTGTAACAAATGTCCACAGAGGTTCTGTAATCAATCAACAATATCAATCATTCTCACTTTGCACGTTTGAAATATCCCACCACATCAAAAATCAAAAGCAGTCTTCCTTCAGTGAACAATATCTAAAACCATATTTTTTCATATTATCGTATTCTGATTGTTAGTTTTTTAGTGCTGACAAAGTTTGGAGCTGATTTTCCAAAACTGACAAGATCAGCGATAGAAACTGGCACTAGTCCTGTAGTCCTTGCAAAAGTGCCCATTACTTTAGGTATCCTAAGGACTAGAAGAAATTTGCCATTTATAAGGGTTTTGGTGTATGTTATCATTATAAGGACTAAAAATGTTAGTTTCTACCCGATTAGATGGAGATATTCAGTTCAAATTCTCTGTTTGATCAATCGAAGGACAAAAGTTTTAACTGAAACTGCTGGCATGGACCCGTCCAGTAAGTCCCGGCATGGACCCATCCAGTTAGTCCCGACATGGACCACCCTGTAACACAGGACCACCCTGTAACATGGACCCATCCAGTTAGTCCTGGCATCGACCACCCTGTAACATGGACCCATCCAGTTAGTCCTGGCATCGACCACCCTGTAACATGGACCCATCCAGTTAGTTCTGGCATCGACCACCCTGTAACATGGGACCACCCTGTAACATGGACCCATCCAGTTAGTCCTGGCATCGACCACCCTGTAACATTGACCCATCCAGTTAGTCCTGGCATCGACCACCCTGTAACATGGACCCATCCAGTTAGTCCCGGCATCGACCACCCTGTAACACGGGACCACCCTGTAACATGGATCCATCCAGTTAGTCCTGGCATCGACCACCCTGTAACATGGACCCATCCAGTTAGTCCTGGCATCGACCACCCTGTAACACGGGACCACCCTGTAACATGGATCCATCCAGTTAGTCCCGGCATGGACCACCCTGTAACACGGGACCACCCTGTAACACGGACCCATCCAGTTAGTCCCAGTATGGACCACCCTGTAACATGGACCCATCCAGTTAGTCCTGGCATGGACCACCCTGTAACACGGGACCACCCTGTAACATGGACCCATCCAGTTAGTCCTGGCATGGACCACCCTGTAACACGGGACCACCCTGTAACACGGACCCATCCAGTTAGTCCCAGTATGGACCACCCTGTAACATGGACCCATCCAGTTAGTCCTGGCATGGACCACCCTGTAACACGGGACCACCCTGTAACATGGACCCATCCAGTTAGTCCTGGCATGGACCACCCTGTAACACGGGACCACCCTGTAACATGGATCCATCCAGTTAGTCCTGGCATGGACCACCCTGTAACACGGGACCACCCTGTAACATGGATCCATCCAGTTAGTCCTGGCATGGACCACCCTGTAACACGGGACCACCCTGTAACATGGACCCATCCAATAAGTCCCGACATGGACCACCCTGTAACAGTCTCAGCAAAGACCAACAACCCCGTAACACTGATGACATGGACCACCTGGTTTGGCTTGTGAGAAATACAAGCATTGACCTGGCTGACAAATGTACGCAGCGACATCCCTGTCTTCACGTCTACAGCGACATCCCTGTCTTCACGTCTACAGCGACATCCCTGTCTTCACGTCTACAGTTGCAGTGCACTGAGGTGCAACACCTACACAGTTCCCCTCACATGCCCCAGGGATCCTTGGACCCCGATTCTATCTGATTCCACACACAGGTGTCACAGGGCCGAACTGCGTGAGTGGGTGGATAAAGCCCAGCCTTGTATTGTTTTCAATATCACATTGAGGACACCACAAATGATTTGTTCACACATTGCACTCATGTGAAAAATCACACACAGGCCATCGGCATGATGAATGAACACTTAAACCACTAGGTTACCAGAAAGGAGGAGTATATATTATGAGATGTGATTGGTCAATTTGGATAGTTTAGATAGTTAAATCAATCTTAAATCATAAAACAAAGAAAACTTAAGTAACTGATATGCTCAGACCAGAAAAATCTTCAAGAATCCTGATCACCTTATTATATTGTTGGAGGTTGTGAGGTTTAACATCGCTTGCTTGCACTTGTCCAGACTAATGCCAAACTTAAAGTGCTAGCTCACTGCAGTTTAATATGGATACTCCACTCAGACACAGTATACTGACTCTTTTGCCATGACACGGATGGGGATTGAACCCCGGACCTTCCTCTCTGGGCGGAGGCTCTACCACTAGACTACGAAGGCTGTCTTATATTGTTGGACTATTGACAGAATTGATTACTAGTAATGTCACTACAAACAACATATGAACCTACAAAGATATGTTGAAAAGAACGTCTTGCCAACTTCATCAATGCACATACCATTACATTATTTCGTGGATTTCAGAGCAACGACCCCTTATTATATCAGATGACATGAGACGATAAATGATATCAGCAAAAATTCACAGCCTACAATTATGGATGGCCCCATGAAAGCAATGTTAAATGTCATAAATTGGCACATGGAGAATGACTTTCATTTGGAACTGCAGATGAATATTTGCCATCTACTCCTGACAGCTTGGTTAATTAAGGGCTGATTCAATTTGGTCCACTTGCAATGGAACTGCTCGAGGACAATAGTGGACCGTGCCCCTTGCTGTGACCAGCTACTTTGTGTCCAGTCACAGGGGAGAGAAGATCGGCCACAATACGCGGATAAAACCACCCCTCAGTAAAGTGAATGTTATGTGATGCCTCGGTCAGCAATAATCCAGCCATATCATGACGGCTTGTAAATAATAATAAGTTTGGACCAGGAGTGAGTGAGTATAGTTTTGTTGCTTTTAGCAATATTCCAGCAATATTACGGTGGGGGACACCAGAAATGGGCATCACACATTGTACCCATGTCGGGAATCGAACCCGGGTCTTCGGCGTGATGAGTGAGTGAGTGAGTGAGTGAGTGAGTATGGCTTTACGCTGTTTTTAGCAATATTCCAGCAACATCATGGCGGGGGACACCAGAAATGGGTTTTACACATTGTCTTCGACGTGACGAGCGAATGCTTTAACCACTAGGCTATCCGACCTCCCATTTGGACCTGGAAAACCATTGACAAAACACTCTCGGTTTGTTTGTTGTTTAACTCTGCATTCACCAATATGTCGGAACACGCACCAGTGGAATTATGCAGCTTAGGCAGCTCCGCACCTTCTGATTGTTAGAGATAGAAGAGTGAGTATGGTTTTATGCCGTTTTAGCGATATTCAACCATTATCATGGATGAAACAAGAAATGGTCTTCATACATTGTACCCATGTGGAGAATCAAACACTGCCTTGGGGCGTGATGAGCGAATGCTTTCACCACTTGGCTACACTGCCACCTATACATATAGAAGAACATGATGGTGGAAAGACCTCAGTGAATGATGAAACTTTTGTATGACAGCCTGGAAAAAAGCAAAACATCTTTCACTTTCCTTGTAAATATTCCATATAATCTTTGGGAAACTTGTTTGGAACATCATGGAGCAGCCAGGAGCAAGCCCCACCCCACCCTGCATCAAGGTGCACACCCCACCCCACCCTGCATCAAGGTGCACACCCCACCCAACCCTGCATCCAGGAGCACACCACACCCCACCCACCCTGCATCCAGGAGCACACCCCACCCCACCCTGCATCCAGGAGCACACCACACCCCACCCTGCATCCAGGAGCACACCACACCCCACCCTGCATCCAGGAGCACACCACACCCCACCCACCCTGCATCCAGGAGCACACCACACCCCACCCACCCTGCATCCAGGAGCACACCACACCCCACCCACCCTGCATCCAGGAGCACGCCCCACCCCACCCTGCATCCAGGAGCACACCACACCCCACCCACCCTGCATCCAGGAGCACACCCCACCCCACCCCACCCTGCATCCAGGAGCACACCCCACCCCACCCCACCCCACCCTGCATCCAGGAGCACACCACACCCCACCCACCCTGCATCCAGGAGCACACCCCACCCC